AATATCAAAGACAACATCTTGCCATCCTGACTTCTAAGAAGCATTCTGGATGTACTTCTATTGCAGATGTGCCTGTTCTTTTGGTAGTCCATGGTACTTTTAATATTATTCTTCAACACCATAACTCAAATGCATCAATGCTTTTATGGTCTTCTTTATTCATTGTCCAATTTTCACACGAATATGAGGCTATTGAAAATACTATGGCTTGTGTCGGTGCACCTTAGTCTTCAAACTGACGTCTTTGTTCTTGAACACAACCAGCCTTTGTGGTGGTGATGATTATGGGCCATGGAGTTGGTTCTGACTCACAGCAACCCTGTATAGTGTTTCCGAGGCCATAAATCTTTACAGGAGCAGAAAGACTCATCTTTCTCCTTTAGAATGACTGGTAGTTTCAAACTGCTGACCGTGAGGTTAGCAGCCTGACTCATAACCGCTACGCTACCAGAGCTCCTTACAATCAGCTTTAGGCTCCTTTATTTTTTCAATGTTTAGCATAGTCACCCAATGTGCCTGATCCTCAGAAATCTTTATTCTGAAGGTAGGAGATCTGGGAAATATTTTTTAAAGCCACCTAGTCAATTGTGATTGTCAGATAGTTTGAAGTGAGCATATTACGTTGGTGAAGTTAAAAAATTTTTTTCAAATGAGGTAACACTGCACAGGGACGTTTATGTGATAGGATTATAGTTCTAAATGACATTCAAAAGTTATAGAAAAACTTTACATGAAAAGGATGGAGTCCTAAGCACATTCTCTAAATGAAAAATCACCAACATAGTGTAAGTAAAATTCGTAAGACCTTTAGAAGCTGAGTGGTCAAAGGGATAAGTTAAAGTTATAGTAGTTACAAACGAGCATGTTATAAAATTTATCCTTAGTAATAGGAATATAATACATGAGAACTAGGAAGATACACCTCACTTAAACCTGAGTTTTAGTTTTAATAGAAAACAATTTTTAGTTTACATATTTTACAAGATGTGTACAAATATTCCCCTAAACAGACCTGACCCATTTTATCCTTGACACACAACACAGTGTCTGGCATGTAATAGGCACCTTGTAAATGTTTAAAGAATAAGTTAATAGATAAAGGATTTTTAGATAAGAATACTCAAAGGATTAAAAGAATAGATCATTAGTCCATTCTGGAATGGTCAAAGAGATGAGGGCTCTGTTAGAATAAATAGAAGAGCTAAGGACAATTGCTTATTTTAAATACTTACAAGGATATTGTGAAACATAAAGAGATTTTCCTGAAACAAAATAATATCTACAAGGTACATTTAAAGACAGTTTTAAAATTGTAGATCTCACCAAACTCTAGACAGTATCTCTCTCTCTTAAGTACAAGGACTACCTTTTTTTTTTTTTTTTTTTTTAAAGGTTTTTATTGTGGAATGAGTGAAAGTTTACAAGGCAGATCATCAGTTTTACGTTCAACAAATCATACACCTTGTTTCATTACAATGAATACATTCTCCTCATGTACCATTAGTTAACAGTATTTCTCACTATTCACTTTAGCTCTTTTTTTTTTTAAACACTCAGACATATATAATAACTTACATCACCAAAGGGCACATTCTGCATGCCTGGCCTGCCTCCTGGCTGCCAGCTCTTAGGTCCCTCACTTTCCATGTATCTAGAGTCCTCAGCTGCTCCCTCTTTCCAAGTTCTCGTCTCTGCATCCATATCTGGTATGGCTACTTCTCTGGATAAGGTCCCGCATTCTGCTTCTGCTCTTCTCCCTTGATGGTCCTAGGGTCCTTAGTTTCTCAACTGTAAGATTAGCTACTCCCCTGTTTTTGTTACAAGACTTCTACCTTTACAACTGTGACAGGCACAATTAGTCATGATAACAACTACTCACTATTGAATCATAAGAATCTTATCCCTGTCTCTTTTCACCAGACCCATCTAGACAAGATGAAAACTATTCAGTGGGGACTTTCTTCCCCCACACACTCTTAAACTAAACTCCGTCTTGAAACCTTGTAAGCCAGTCACTTCGTGCCTTTATTGTCCCCTCATTTTAGGTAGCCCATGCAAGGACTACTTCTAATAAACATTAAAAAAATATCTATTCCCAAAGGAAGACATAACCTATAGACTGCTTTAAACCCAGGTAGCTAACTACCTAATATTGCTTCTGGTTATAAAAGTAGATTTTCTGACAGTAAACTAGCTGCTATAATTGATTAACAGGTGCCTTTTATCTATCAAGGAGTCCTGGTGTGGCACTGTGGGTTAATACACCAGACTGCAAAACCATTTGAACTGCAAGGTTGGCAGTTCAAGCTCAACAGCTGCTCCTTGGAGACCCTATACAGGTTTGCTATGGGTTGGAACTGACTCAACAGCACTTTACAACAGCAAACAAATGTAGATCATTCTACAGTCAGGAGATAAATTAATTTCTCAGGTAACCTGACTCTGGGTCTTTCAAGTCCTGAATCTGGGATAGGAAAACAATGAGTCTTCCAAAAGTACAGGACCTCTTCCCCTAGTAGAGTTAGTAGGGATGTAGGAGAAGGCCCTAGTTCCACAGAGGAAGAACCACCCTGCTGGAGCTGTGTTATAGAATTCTGTACTAACTCCGCTATGGTAGGAGGTAAAGGATTGTTCAATGTACAATGCTCCCTGCAAATAGAAATCAGACAAACTAAACATTTTCATTCCAGCAATGGGGGATTAAACCTGAACGTCTATACCATAGCAGCTTGAATCGCAGCTGGAGATCAGCGGAAGAATTCATGGCCCATTGTTCTCCTGGGTTTTTCTTGACTGTTGTGTGGTGAGTCCAGGTCTTGAGGCCCGCGAGTTTGAGAGCAGTGGGGGTGGTCTGCAGGATCTCCTAAAGCCCCAGTCCATTCCTCCTCTAACTGGGAGGCAGGTCCATCTTTCCACGTTTTCAACAGGACTGAATCTCCAGGCTGGAAAGTGTGCAGGCTACCTGTAACGGAGGAAGCAGACCTGGGAAGAGCAGATTTTAAGAAGAATAGAAAATGCAAGTGTGCATATTGCTGCACCGTCTACCCTTGGTTGAGGGCAGGTGAAGGGTTGAGGGAAGCTGCCTGGGAAAGTTCACCGTATATAATTTCATAAGGGCTCAATTTAAGCACTCTTCTGGTGGCTACCTGAATGCGGAACAGGGCTAGAGGCAATACCTGGTTTCAATATAGATGAGATTCCTGACAGAGTTTTGCCATTGTTTCTTTAGAATATAGTTTATTTCCTCCACTTTCCTGGAATGAGGTCTCCATCCTGAGCGCAATCTCCGTGTCATCTGTAGGTGTTTGCTGCTCCAATGTCACTTTGGACACTTTGTGGGAGTCCACACCTAGGGGTAATCTCTTTCAAAAGGATTTTTATTACTTCTGAAATTCACTTGGTCCAGGTGGGGAAAGTCTGTACCCAACCAGGAAAGATATCTACAAAAACAAAGCCAGCAAATATTTAAGTCCCCAACTTGGGGGCATCTCTGTGAAATCGACCTGCCAATTTTCAAAGGGTTGTTTACCTTGATATTGGTGCAAGCCATCCTTTTGTCCTGGGATTGTTCTTGAGGCAGTTCAAGCGAATATCCTGAAAGCTTTTTTTTTGGTCCCCAGTCTGGAGCCAGAGCCTAACGAATCTAGCCAGACCTCTTTCCCAGAGTGAGTCATTTCTTGGACTCCTTTAAGAAGGGCAGGAGCTAGTTTTCACAGGATCAGAACCATTCTGTTGCCGTTCACTTCTTATCCTTCAACCTCTCAGAACAAGAACTATCCCCTCTTCATTCACTTTTCATTCCGTAACCTCTCTCTCAAATCCTCTTGCCTCAGTCTAACTCAAGTGTTCAGGGTACACACTCACAGTCTTTCCTGCCAACATTCTAATGCCCTTGTCAGTGTAATCATTTTGGCCTTTTGAGCTGAGGTCCCTGACAGGACGGCTACTGCCTCCACAAGATCTTTTAAGGTTATTATCACATACCCTGCTCTGAGTACCTTTCTCCATGTAACTGCTTCTATCCATGAACAATGTCTAGTCCACCAGGTATAATGGTCGGTCAAACAGATCAGGTCAGCTGGAAAATACTTGATCAATGATTTCTATATAATCATGGTTCAGCCCTTTAGCAACCACATTGGGGAGGAGGGTGGCTGGGTTTAGTCACCCCACAATTCTCAGAGTAATATTCTGATTGTACAGTAAAATAACCTGGTATTGCCTCATCTGTTCTGTTGTGAGCCATGGGCCTCCCTTCTGTCGCTATGAGTCAGAACCAACTTCATGGGACACTACCACCACCATTATCTGTCAGGTAATGTTGGAATGCTAGCCACAAGGTTCACAGTTCAAATCCACCAGCCATTCCAAGGGAGAAAGATGAGGCCATCCGCTCCTGTAAAGATTTACGGTTTCAGAAACCCTATATAGTATTGCTATGAGTCAAATGGACCTGACGGCAGTGGGATTCTCTGTCTGGGAGTTCCTGGGTGATACAAACAGTTAACACACTGAACTACTAAACAAATGGTTAGAAATTTGAATTCACTTAGAAGCACCTTGGAAGAAAGGCCTGGCAATCAATCAATCTATTTCCATAAAATTAACCATTGGAAACTCCATGGAACACATGTCTACTCTGACGGACGCATAATGGGTCACCTTAAGTTAGAATCCGCTCAACAGCAACTGGAACTGGATTGTCTAAAACATAAATAGATTTTATTCATAGTTCTTTAATTTTAAATGTTAATTCAAATATTTTTAAAGTACACTGTGGCTAGTCTGTTTCTCAATTTGCCAGAAAATTAGATTCTTTCATAATGTTTTTGGTTGTTTTTTTTGTTTGTTTCTTTGTGATATAAACATTTTTACTTTTTCATGTTTTACCAGAAATGAGATGACCCTAGTTAAACTTTGGGGTAAAAGTTACTTTTCCACATACTTTAGGATGAATTTAACTCCAAGTTAAAAATTTTGAAACTTTGTTTAAATTTCAGGTTGACTTATCAAAGGATCTCCCTCACTGGAACAAACTTAAACCAGATGAGAAGTATTTTATCTCTCACATCTTAGCCTTTTTTGCAGCCAGTGATGGCATTGTAAATGAAAACTTGGTAAGATTTTTATTTTATTTTACTCTTGTTCCTATTTAGCAGCTGAATGATGATCATGGGAGTCAGATAATTAGACTGCCCCTGGAAAAAAAATGTCTAAGAAATGAACTAGATGAAGGTGCCACTGCCACTGCCATTGGTCAATTCCAACTCCTGGTGAGCTTATGTAGAATTCCTGAGACTGTAAATCTTTACAGGCAGCTTCATCTTTCTCCCATGGAGTGGCTGGTGTGTTTGAACTACTGACCTTGTGGTTATCAACCACAGTGCTCCTTAGATGAAGGTTAGCATTTGAAAGTGTTTTTCTGACAACGTGTCAGAGGAAAAGATGTATTTCTGTCAGCTGACCAGCAAAATATCATGAAACTATACATGCACTGTAACAATCAAAACTACTGACAATGTACAGATGTGAGCTTGAGTTTTTCCCTTAGCTAATAGAGAACCTGCCCCGTAATCACCCTTCTAGGGCTCTAGAATAGGGCTCTCAGTTCTGGCTCCCCCTGTTTAAACTTGATTTACGGTTGATCAAGGGGTTGGCTTTCTTTATAAAGATGAGAACTTTCATCAGGGACTAGAAAGGGGCTCAGTAGGTGATTGATTTTTTTTTTTTTTTTTCCCTGTCTACTGTCAAGAAAAAAAAAATGACTTTAGGTCAGTTCTATAAAGCATAATATTAATTTATGATAGATGTTCTAAAATTTATTTGGAAATAAATAAATACACAGTATTTATACCTAGCAGGTCACTGTATTTAATTGCTTAAGAATACAATATGTGGCTGATTTATAGTTAATGGTGGTTGGTGGTAGTGTGCTATGGAGTTGCTTCTGACTCATAGTGACCCTGCATAGGGTTTCTGAGGCTATAAATCTTTACAGGAGCAGAAAGCCTCATCTTTCTTCCGTAGAACTGCTGGTAATTTTGAACACCTGACATGAGGTTAGCAGCTCGACTCGTAATAAACAGTTTTGCTTAAATGAACCCATACAGACTTTTTGACCCATTTGTGACATGACAAGTGATCATTCTGATGCCCAGATTCTGAAGGTTGTTGTTACATGCCTTTGAATCTGTTTCCACCCACGCAACTCTGTGCAGGATTTCTGAGGAGTGACTGGTGAGTTAAAACCACCAACCTTGCAGTCCAGTCCTTACCCTGCAGCACTACACCAGGACTTCAAGATTCTGATTGTTGTTGTTTGTTAAGTGCCATGGAGTTGGTTTCGACTCACAGCGACCCTGTATAGGGTTTCCAAGGAGCGGCTGGTTGGTTTGAACCGGTGACCTTGCAGTTCAAACCGACCTTGTCAGTCATTATCCTGCAGTGCTGCACAAGATTCTGAGTGTTGCTGTTGTTAAGTGCCGTCAATTTAGTTCTGACTCATAGAGACCCTATATAGGGTTTCCCAGGAGTGACTGGTAGTTTTGAACCACTGACGTTGTGGGTCTCAGTCCAGTGCTTATCCTATAGTGCCACAGTAGGATTCAGATTCTGAATAGCAGTGTTTGATTGGACATATTGGTTTTCCTTTCTTCCCTTAGGTGGAGCGCTTTAGTCAGGAGGTACAGGTCCCAGAGGCTCGCTGTTTTTACGGCTTCCAAATTCTCATCGAGAACGTTCACTCAGAGATGTACAGTTTGCTAATAGATACTTACATCAGAGATCCCAAGAAAAGGTAATAATGTAGGGATTTTATTTATAAAGACTCATACTATAGTTTAACTATGCTAAGAACAGATTGTATTCCCAAACTAAATGTTTAGAAAGAATTATTCAAATATGGGAGTTCACGAATATGATTTCCATTTCTTAATAACATCTTGGGTTTTTTAAAAAACAAACCAAAAAACCTATATGTGTTGTTGTTAAGTGCCATTGAGTTGGTTCCAATTCGTAGTGACCCTGTGTAGGGTATCTAAGAGAGGCTGGTAGGTTTGAACTGCTAACCTTGTAGTAGCAGTCCAGTGCTTATTTTACAGTGCCACACCGGGACTCCCAGTTAATCTTTAGATACTGTATCTAAAAATAAGCCTTTTCATTAGCATATTCTTTTTAGAAATGAAATATTTTAATTTAATTATTAAACCAGAGCCAAACCACTAATTTAAGTTTTACTTTCGTTTCTACATTTTATTGACATGTAAAAATGGCGAAACCCCTACAACAATCCCAAACCTATGGATCTAATAGCATATATACAGTTGCAGTTACTAGCTATGTTTAAATTGAAAATTTAATCTGATTAAGAAAAACAAGTGACTAATTTTACCATTCATTCTTTTGGTGTTACAGGGAATTTTTATTTAATGCAATAGAAACAATGCCATATGTTAAGAAAAAAGCAGATTGGGCTTTGACATGGATAGCAGATAGAAAATCGACATTTGGTACGTAGCTTTAATTTACATAGAAACAAACGTCTCAGGTGATGTGATGCCATCTTCCGTGGTATGACTATGGAGCTATGTTTTCATTTCATTGGAATGCATTTCCTTTTCATTCTGTTTCATCAAGATCTAGTATGGAAAAAAAAAAAAAGATCTAGTATGAGTCGAAGTCATAGCCTGGAAGAAGCATACAAATGCCTCAATATGCCACTTTAATAGAATCATTATTTCTGATAATGAACTAAAACTTGTGGTAAAATGATCTAAAGCTATTCTCTAGTGTTAATCATTTGAAAGGTTAAGCTGTCAATGTATAGTCAGCCTGTCACATAGCCACCCTGTGTAGGGTTTCTGAGGCATGACGGACAAATTAGAACCATCGCCAACCTTGCAGTTCAAATCGACCGTGTGGTCCAGTGCTTATCCTACAGCGCCTCACCAGGACTCCACAATTTTGAATGTTGTTGTTAAGTACCTGATGAGTATTATAGCAATCCGCAGTTTGTATTTGCTTTATGAGTGTTTATTTAGGATTTAAGTAAATGAAAGTGTTAGTGTTTTTCAGGGAGCAAATATCCGGAGTAAGTAAAAATTTGCCATGCTATGCTTATTTGTCATGTAAACTAAATGCAGCTATCTTTCTGGATAATTTAGGATCCAATAATTTTTTTAAGGAAGTAATTAACATTGACTCTTATATATTGTCTAAGTATTTATAAAATTTGATTAAAATATTTAAGCATTTCATTTGAATATCTCTTACTTGTCTCACTCTTAGCTATTTAAAAATTAGTGGTCTTTACATGATTTTACCACTTTGTCATACTGTGGTGGCTTGTGTGTTGCTGTGGTGCTAGAAACTATGCCACCAATATTTCAGATACAAGTAGGGTGATTCATGGTGGGCAGGTTTCAGTGGAGCTTCCAGACTAAGACAGACTATGAAGGAGAGGCGGACGTGGACCACTTCTGAATGGTTAGTCACTGGAAGTCTTATGACTAGTAGTGGAACATTGTATGATATAGTGGCAAAAGATTAGTTCCTCAGGTTGGAAAGCACTAAAAATATGATGGACAAGCTGACTCCTCAAAGTAGAGTTGACCTTAATGACCTGGATGGAGTAAAGCTTTTAGGATCTTCATTTGCTGATGGGACACAGCTCAAAATGAGAAGAAACAGAGGCAAACATTTGTTAGTAATCTGAATGTGGAATGTATGAGTTATGCATCTAAGAAAACTGGAAATTGTCCAAAATGAAATGGAATCCATAAAGATCAATATCCTAGGCATTGGTGAGCTGAAATGTACTGGTGGTATTGGTCATTTTGAATTTGACATTCATATGGTTTACTATGTGAGGAATGACTAATTAAAAAGAAGTGATGTCACATTCATCAAAAAGAGCATTTCAAGATCATTTTGAAGTGTAGTGCTGTCTGTGTAGTGCTGTCAGTTAATATCACTATTGTCCAAATTTATAAATCAGCCTCTAAAGCCAGTGATGATGAAATTGAAGAATCCTACCAACTTCTTGAATCTGAAATTAATCAACCATGCAATGAAGGTACATTGATAATTTTTGGTGATTGGAATGCAAAAATTGGAAACAAATAGGAAGGAGCAGTAGTGGGAAACTGGTTTTGGTGATAGAAAATATGCTGGAGATCACGTGGTAGAGTTTTGCAAGACCAACAATTTATTAATTATAAATACCTCTTTAGACAAATACCTATTTTTAGCAGCATAAACGACAATTACATACATGAACCTCACCAGGTGGAATACACAGGAATCAAATGACTACATATGTGGGAAGAGATGAAGGAGAATCTCAGTAACGTCAGTGAAAACAATGCACATATGCAAGTTTAAGCTGGAGAATATGAAAACAGGTTTATGAAAGGCAAAATAAGACCTTGAGTATATCTCATGTGGATTTAAAGACCATTTTAAGAACAGATTTCATGTATTAGACGCTAATGATTGAAGACCAGAGAGTGCTGGAATATCAATAACATCATAAATGAAGAAAGCAAAAAACGATTTAAAGACAGAAAAGAAACAAGAGAGCTAAATGGATATCAGAAGAGACTCTTAAACTGGTTCTTTCTTGAATGAAGAGAAGTTAGGGCAAATGGAAGAAATGACAAAAAGTGCTGAACAGAAAATTTCAAAGGGCAGCTCAAAAAGACAAAGTAAAATTTTATAATGAAATATTCAAAGATCTGAAGTTAGAAAACCAAAAGGGAAGAACATGCTCAGCATTTCTGAGGCTGAAAGAACTGAAGAAAAAAATTCAAGCCTTAAGTTGTAATATTGAAGCATTATATGGATAAAATATTGAATGAAGCAGTAAGCATCAAAAGAAGATGGAAGGAAAACATATAGTTATTATACCAAAAAGAATTGGGTAATGTTCAGTCATTTCAATAAGTACAATATGATCATGAATGGATGGTGTTGAAGAAAGAAGTTCAGACTGCACTGAAGGCATTGGTGAAAAACAAGGCTCTGGGTATTGATGGGATACCAGTTGAAATATTTCAACAAACTGATGCAGCATTGGAGACACTCATTTGTCTCTGCCAAGAAATTTGGAAGACCACTACCTGGCCAACTGATTGGAAGAGATCCTTATTTGTGCCTGTTCCAAAGTAAAGTGATAAAATGGAATGCAGTATATGTTATTAATATTGAACAATATCTTTAATATCACATGCAAGTAAAATTTTGCTGATGATAATGCAAAAGCGGTTATAGCAGTACACTGACAGGGAGCTGCTGATTCAGAAGAGGACACACTGATGTCAGATGGATCTTGGCTGAAAGCAGGAAATACAAGAATGACTTGTGCTTTATTGACTTGCAAAGATATCCTACTATGTGGATCATGCAAAACTATGGATCACAATGCAAAGAATGGGAATTCTAAAACACTAATTAATTATGCTTATGAGGAACCCATACATAGACCAAGAAGTAGTCATTTGGGCTGAATAAGGTATACTGAATGGTTTAAAATCAGGATTCTATCATTTTACCATACTTGTATCAGTTCACCATTCAATCTGTATACTGAACAAATAATCTGAGAATCCAGGTTATATGAAGAACATGGCATCAGGATTGGAGGAAGATTCACTAACAATGTGATATATGCAGATGACACAATCTTGCTTGTTGGAAACAAAGAGGACTTAAAGTACTTATTGATGAAGATCAGAGACTACAACCTTGAGTATTAGTTGCACCTCAGTGTAAAGAAAACAAAAATTCTCACAACGGGGCCAATAAATAACATCATGATAAATGGGGAAAAGATTGAAGTGGTCAAAGACTTCGTTTTGTTTGCATCCCATCAATGCTCATGGAAGAAGCATTCAATAAATCAAACAATAGTAGTGCATCAAGCAAATATGCTGCAAAAGATCTCTTTAAAGTGTTAAAGTGTCACTTTGAGGACTAATGTGCATTTGACCAAGCTGTGGTATTTTCAGTTCAGACAGGATGGGAAGCTTAGGTTACATGGTGACTTGGTGACCCATGGTTAGATTTTCATTCTCTGCTAAAGGCTAGTAAGTAGGCTTTAACAAGCTGAAAGCTGTTTCTCAAAAGGAAAGTAGTTTTCTCCAGAGGATGGCAGGACTTTGCTCCAAAGTCTTAAAGGTCTGTGCTGTAATTCACCAAAAAGGTCCTGCCAAAGACTTCAAATAGCATCTCTATCTGCCGCTGACTCTTTAAGCAACATTGGATCAGCTGGATCATATGGCCCAAGTGGCAGAGTGGCTTGCATGGCAGGCTGAACCTGTTATAGAGCCTTCTCTTGTCCTGGGACCCACTCAAAACTAGGCATTTTTTGAGTCACTTGATAAATAGGTCAGAGTAGCACACCCAAATGAAGGATATGTTATCTCTAAAATCCTGAGGCCCACCAGGTGTTGTTATTCCTTTTTCATTGTGGGAGGAACCAGGTATAATAGCTTATCTATCCTTCACTTTAGTAGGAATATCTTGACATGTCCCACACCACAGAACCCTTACAAATTTCACCGAGGTGGAAGATGCCTTAATTTTTGTCTGGTCTACTTCCCACGTTGTAGTATGCAGATGTTATAACAATTAGTTTAGATTCATTGATACATCTTCCTCACTAGATCCAGTCAGCATAATCCTATCAATGTAATGGACCAATGTGATGATGTTTTGTGGCAGGGAAAAACAATCAAGTTCCCTGTGGGTTAATTTCTAGCAATGTGCTGAAGAGTTGATATACCTCTGAGGTAGGACAGTGAAGGTATATATTGTTGGCCTTGCTAGCTGAAGGCAAGCTGCTTCTGGTAAACCTTCAAACACAGAATTGAGAAAAGGGCATTTGGCAGATCAGTAGCTGCATACCAGGCTGTCAGTCATTAATACTCGTGTTGTTGATAAGTGCCATCGGGTTGGTTCCGGCTCATAGCAACCCTGTATAGGGTTTCTGAGGAGTGGCTGGTGAATTTGAACTGCCATCCTTGAGTTCAAACCGACCTTGCAGTCCAGTGCATTATCTCACAGTGCCATATAGTGACCTTTTATAGGGTTTCCAAGGAGCAACTGGTGGATTTGAACTACAGACCTTGTGGTTAGCAGTTCAGTGCTTATCCTACAGTGCAACACCAGGTACCAGAAGATGTATTCATTTGTTTAAGCAATGAAACCACATCTGAGACAGAAACTGAAATTGGGTTCACTACCTGGTTAAGTTTACAATAATTTACTGTCATTCTCCAAGATCTATCTGCTTTTTGCACAGGGAAACAGTTGAGTTAAATGGGGATGTGTTAGGAGTCACCACCTCTGCATCCTTCAAGTCCTTGATTGTGGCACTAATTTCTGTAATACCTCCAGGGATGTGGTATTGCTTTCGGTTTACTATTTTCCTATGTAGAGGCAGTTCTAATGGCTTCTACTTGGATTTCCTACCATAATAGCATAACCCTTATTCCACATGTCAGGGGTC